ATGGGGAGGCCTGGGGGCCAGGTGAGCATGGGCTGCTTGTCAGGAAGTCAGGATGCCAGCCTGCCAGGAAGGAAAGGTTTAGGACTTTAATTTGATTTTACATTCCTGTATCTTCTAGCACTCTCCCTTCTCTACCCCAGAACACGGGTTTCTTTGGGGTTGTAGCAGACCAGAGGCTTAGATTTTAATCCCACCTCTACCCCTAAGCAACAGAGTGCATTTGGGGATTTCACTTGGCTCTCTCTTTAGACCCTGCCTGCCTGTCCCATCTCTAAATTGAAGGTGAGATCAGTGAGTTTCCTCCACATTTAAGTTCTGGATTCAGCCTCCTGCTTCTTTGCTTTCCTGAGGAAGGTGGGATAATTCAGTGGTGTGTGCCAAGTTATAGAGGACTCAAATTACTATCCTTCAATTTAGAAAGTGTAGCTTTGCCCGTCTGCCCACTAGGGGGCACAAATGAGTAAAACAAAGCCTCCCTCCCGGGCAGGGACTGCACCTGCAGTTCCCGGCACTGCCAGTAGGGGAAAGGTTTCCACGCCCTCCCCACCCCCAAACATTCTTACTAAAGAAGTCTGGGGAATGCCTTTTACACCTTTTCTCTTTTTCTCTTTCAGGTGTCTCCCGACGGACCCAGAAATTTGGGACATTCCCAGGAAATTACGTAGCTCCAGTGTGAGTGGTCTCCGTGGCAACTCAGAGCTCAGCCAGGATGGGGTGGGGAACAGTAGCACTTATTGGAGGGAGAGAGGATCCCCCCTCCATCCTCCTTCTCCAAGACCTGAGCTGCTGGCATCTGCAGACAACCCCAGCAGCCGTTCTTCAGAGCCCCCCTCAAAGCCCCCTGGACTGCTTCCTACCCACAGCTCACAAACATTCCTCCAGCAGCCTTTTTATTTCCTCCCCTACCCCACTTCCCAAATATAGAGGTCTGCTTTGAAGTGAAGACTGTTTCCAGGCCTTATTGAGACCAGACCCTGGACCCCCTCCCCCTTCCCCGCCCTGCTATGGCGTTTCCTTTAACAGGGGCTGGCTCCCAACTTCACCCCCATGGGGTTCCTCTACCAAGGACCAGCTTCCTAACCTAACAGAGACCAAAGGCCACCTCTGCCTGGAGGGGATTCGTCCCCTTTCACTCCAGCTTGCCAGCTGCCCCCTTTGCCTTCCTGCTTCCAGTTGGGTTTGGGAGTGAGGTGGGAGAGGGACACAGCCCCTCCTTAGTGCCCGAAGCCTGGCAGGAGGTCTTGCTCAAAGGCCCCCTCTTCCCCAAGGCTGCCTGGGCTGTGTGTGTCATTGCGCTGCTGTAATACCCAGAAGGACTGGGCCTCCCAGGACTGGCCTGCTCCAGGTATTCTCCCGGGAGACTGAGGTGCACTGCCCTCCTGCCTCCCCAGCTCCTCCAACCCCCACGTCCCCTCTGGAAGAGAATGTAAAATAAATCTGGATACCAGGGACCTTGCCCATCCGTTTCCTTCCGGCCAGGAGAAGGCTCCTCCTGCCCAGGACTGGGGAATTCTTTCTGCAGTTGGCTGTGCTGGGAACCAGGTGGGACGTGAGGCTGTGTGTGAAAGGGGAGGGTGGAAAAGCACCCTCATTGTCTGAAGATCTCAGCCCTCAGGTCTCGGGCAGAATGGGGCAGCCTCCAGGATCAGGCAGCTGTCCGACCAGCAGCTCCAAGAAAGCCGACGTCACAGGGCCTGGGGCGAGCCTGACTGTGGGGAGAAACCAGAGATGGGAGCTGAATGCGGCCTGTGTGCAGCCTGTTTTGATTCCGGAGCCGTCATGGGGTTGCTGGGCGAGATGACATTTCTAGCTGTTCTGCTCCTAATGTTTTCCTTCTGTGTGCTCCATTTCCACACCGAAGCTCTCGTGTGTTTGTTTACTTTCTTCTTTGGGCTCGGGTTTTTGAGCCATCAATTGCGGGAAGCTGGGAGTGGTGGGGCACAGCTTAGCCAAAGCAACTCTTCTCGCCCGAGGTTTCTCAGTCCTGCGGCTCGGTGGTCCCTGCACAGCGACGGCAGTGCCACAGCCCGGTCCTGGCTGCTCTGCCAAGAAAGAAAACTGTTCCTTGGCAGCTGCTGGCAGTTGAACGGGGCAAAAGGTGCTGCACGTGTGCTATCTGACAGAAGCTTCCCTATGACGGGTAGGATTCCATTTTAGGTAACGAGAGACTGAGGCTGAGAAACCAAGTTGTCTGGGTTGCATCATTCTAAAATGTGAAGTCAGGTCCAATGACTCTTGCCACCTCTCTGCACAAAGTGGACCGAGCGCCCAGGCAGTCCTTGTCCTGGATAAGGAAGGTCATGGGTGAGGCCAAGGACTGCCCTGGGTTGGGCCCTTTTATGTTCTTCCTGGCAGTCCTGTCTGCTAGCCTGTCACTTAGGGTACCCCCACCCCAGGTGGGTGGGAAGAAGTGGTGGTGCCTAGTTCTGCGTGTAAATGACAGGCCCACAGCCTGGCCCCTGCAATTTCCTTGAGCCTGGGTGTGGCCTGGGCCCTAGTGGGGGTTAAACAGCAGCTGGAAGAACAGGACTTACCTATGTTCCGTCTGCTCCGTCCACCCCACGCCTCACCACCATCTGCTTCTAAGTTGTGTGGTCTGGCCCATCATGTGGAGATGACCATTCTTCAGGAACCCACTGGCCTATTCGAGATCCCCTGTCCCAGCTTCTTCGCGTTCCCCAATGCCCTTAGAAAAGATACCAGGGTTGATTGAGACTTCCTTTCCCTGGGACAGAAACCGAATCCACACCCTTTTTGATGGGGCCCTGAAACCTCTGCAGCAAACCAACCCAACACCCTTGGACTGCTGCCCTGCCAGCCCCGCCTGCAGTGTGACCGTGACCGCTTCTGTGCCTTGATCTGGCCAGGAGGGAGGAGGGGAGGGGAGGGTCACAGGCCTGAGGGGCAAGGGGGAGCTGCAGGGTCAGGGTCAGAAAGTGCGGTAGGCCACTGGGAATGCTCCTCCTGCTAGAGAGGGGAGCTGAGGGACTTGCCCAGGGCTGCAGAGTTGCTTAGAGCAGGATAGTCCTCCCTTCTGGTCCACAGGGTCTTGCCCTTGGATGAGTCAATTTTGTCTTGATCATGAGTTTTGTGAATGCACAACCCATGGAATATAAATCCTGCAGGTTAACCCGTACATACTAGAGACTAGGGAAGAGTCAGGACACAGAGATGTAAACCAGAGGCCCTGCCACAAATCAGGGGTGAAAGAGAAATTAATCCCTTCAATCGTTCAAACAATATTCATTTGACATTTATTGAATGCCTACTGTGTGCCAGGCACTGTGTTAGGTTCTGGGAATGGAGCAGTGAACTGATCCCCTACCACCACCGTGCACCCCCACCACCACCCTAACAGGAATCTGTGTGCCAGCAGCTTTATCCAGGAGGACGGTCTTCACAAAGGAGGCTAAGGTAGGCACTATACTCATTTTACCCATGTGGAAAGTGAGGAAATGACCCAAGGTCACACGGTAAGAGGCAGATCTGGCATGTGAGGCTAGGTCTGTGGGACTCCAGGGCTGTGCTTGCCGGTCCTGCAGTTTCCTGCTCCCTCAAGGGCTTCCGGTCTAGCTGGGGGTCTAGTTGGGGCGGTAGAGCACTTGTGTCAGGCAAAGGGGCCACTCCAGGAGGCCCAGAGCTGGTTGGTGGGAGAGTGGCTTACCTGCACTGAGGACAGAGGCCACAGGAAGGTTAGAACAGGGGAGGTCGGTGGCAGTCCACCTGTCAGTCCATGTGGGGAGGATGAGACACAGGACACAGGTAGGCGGGAAGAGTGGCAAGGGCACTCCTTGCAGAGGGAACTTGGAGGGAATGACTCACACCTGAGGCAGGCAAGTTACAGCTGTGCCCACAGGTGTGCTTCCCTGAAAACACACCAGCCTGACAGAGAGAATGCAAAGTGGAGACTGATGGGAGATGCCGGAGCTGGCTCTTGGTGCGCCCTGAGGTCTCCAGGTTGAGGGTTGCCAGGTACGGTTCCGGAACACCATTTGCCAGATGGTTCTGAGCTGGTGCCTGGGGCCTTCCTCGGCTACCCGCTTCCTAACCCCAGGGCCTGGGTTCCAGGTGGTTGGCAGAAGGCTGGCCACATGGACAGCGAGGGCCCATGGTGATTGTTGGGGCTGGCCCACCGCAGGCAGGGCAGCAGAGAGGGTGAGGAGAGGGAAGCCAGAAATCAGCCAGGAGCATCAGCCCAGGAGAGCGCCCGGCGACCGCCAGCCAGGATTCCCTCCATCTCCTGGGCCTCGAAGGTCGCCCGGAGCCGAGCAGGCTTGTGGGGCATCTCCGTCAGGCAGGGCAGCCCTGAGCAGCCCCAGGAACCCAGCAGCCCTCAGCCACCGCCCGGGGAGCGCGCGCGCCGTTGGAGAACCGAGTTGAGGAGGGCGCGACGGCAGCCCCGGCTTGGAATCTGTGGGTGTCGGGGCTCCATCCGCGCCAGCGTCGGAGTTCGAGCCGCGAGTGGGCGGAGGAGCCAGGCGGACCGCAGACAGACCCAGCCGGCCCACCACCGCCCCGGCCCGGGCTGTGGTGAAGGCGGGGGAGGGGGGGAGGTGCTCGAGGGCCCCTGCGAAGGCGTGTGGGTGCGGCCGGCCTGGGAGAGCTTCAGGGTCGCAGCCTGTCCGGGGCTGTCCGCGCAGTGGGGCTCGCGACCCGTCACCGGAACGCCTCCCCGCCCTCTCCGAGCATTCGGGAGAAGGGCACCTCGGGGAGGACGGCCGCAGCCTCTAGGGGGCCCTAGAGAGAGAAACCCCCCCGCGCACCCCAGCAGGGCGCGGGCCAGGTGGCAGCTCCGGGGCTGGGCTGCGCGGAGGAGGCGGCCTCCTGGGCCAGGGGCGGTGGCAGGGGCGGCCCCGGGATCACATGGGCGGAGGCAGGTCTTGGAGCCCCGGGCGGGCTCTCCCCAGAGTCGGGCAGACGGCGGCAGCGGCGGTGGCGGCGGCGGCAGTGGCGGTGGCTCCTCACCCTCCCTCCTTCCCTTCCCTTCCCTCCCGGCTCTGGCCGTCCAGCCCGACGGGTGAGCGGGAGCCGGGTGAGCGGGAGCCAGGTGAGCGGGAGCTAGGTGAGCGCGCCCACCTGCGCACCTTCAGCACGGCCGGCGACCTTCCCGGCTCCGGGGATCTCGCAGCTCTGCGAGCCCGCGCCCCCTGCGCCGCTCTCCGAGCCCCGGCCCTTTACTCCGCCCACGGCTCCTCTCCCTGTAGCCTCGCCTGGAGGCCGGTGCCCCCAGCGTGCTGGGCTTTCCCGATCCCCGGCGCTCCTCTTCCAGCACCAGGCCCGCGGGTACTTTGGCCCCGGACTGGGAGAGCTGGGCCAACGGGCTGGGCACATCCCCGCGGCCCGGGGCGCGGAGTCCATCAGCCGGCTCAAAGGTCTGAGAATCCAAAGCCTCTGTAAACCGCGAGCGTCGGCCTGGGGACCTGGAGACCTGGGGCAGGGACAGGGGCTAGGCCTGGGCAAAAGGCAAAGCCAGGGACCGTAGACGGGGCCGAGAGCCCTTCTTGCTTGCTTGGCTGCCTTCTCCCCAGGCTCTTAAACACAGGAAGTGGCCCTAGTGTCCTTGATGGATTCCCACAGCACTTGCAGCCTCTGGGCCTCCCCAGGGGCAGCCCCAGGGGGGGTGCTGGGCAGGGTGGTGGCCCAGGGCTGGCATTACAGCTTCCTGCCTGGGTTGGCTCCTGGCTCCGTAACTAGAGGCTCAGGAAATCCTACCAGGGCTGGGTCTGTAAGGACACTCCCTTGCCCAGCGGAGGGGGCTGTGGATGGGACGCCTGTGGCCCCAGCTAGCAGGCAGCATCAGTCAGCTCGCCCTGCTACAGCCATTGCCAGGGGGTGGGTGTGCCCAGCTTGGCAGGTGAGCCCGTCCTTCTGCTGGGGCTGTTCAGAGGGCAGCAGGCCCCTGGAGGAGGTGGGAGGCCTCGTCTTGCCTACCTGGACCACATTGCCAGGGGCCAGGCGGGTCGCCAGGAGGCCCCTCTGAAGACCCGGGGCCAGTCCCCACCCAGCCAACTACTTGAACAGTCTGTGGTGGCCTCACCCCCTTGTTTGCTGTCACTCCTGTTCCCAGAGTGCTGCCCTCCCCCAGAGTGGGGAGGAAGTACCTTGTGCAGTCAGTTTTGGGGACAGGAAGCAAGCACTGATGGGACTTAGCCTTGCTGGTGGAGGAGGGGGAGAGGCAGGAAACGGTGACATCGCCTACCACCTGCCAGCCCCTGCCCTCCTGGTCTCCATCCAGCAAGGGCCTGTGAGGCACCCGAACGGCCTGCCTTCTGGGAGCTGTGCTGCTGAAGACTGTGGCGGTGAAGGGGGAACTCAGAGTCATGGCTTCCCAGGGTGGGGGGAAGTGAAACCAGGGGGGTGAAGGAGGGAGTTAGTCACTTCCTCTACACTCCCCCTCTCACCCCTCCCCGGTCCCTAACTGGCTTCTCTCTGGACCTGTCATCCCCTCTCTTTTGCTTCTACAGGGTCTCCAGCCCTCCTTCCTGTGATATGGCCCTGACTGTGGATGTGGCGGGGCCTGGGCCCTGGGGCTTCCGGATCACTGGGGGCAGGGATTTCCACACGCCCATCATGGTGACCAAGGTAAGGGCTAGTTCCAGGAGTTAGGATCTACCCTGTCTACCGGATCTCCACAGCCACCTTTCTTTTTTTTTTATTCTGGAGTCAGAAGGCCTACTTCTGAGAGTGTTAGCCTGGGGAGGACTGGGGCCCCATTGCCATGGGGCTGTGGTGACCACTTCAGGAACAGACTTCTGGGGATTGACAGGGAGCTGGGCCAAGTAGAGGCCCTTTCTCCTTGGTCACCCACCCTGCACCTGCTGGCAGCCACCTGGGGAAGTTACTAGAACAGGAGCCCCAAGTCCTTGGCAGTGTCCTGACCCAGGCCCAGGCCAGGGAGCATTCACGGGGCAACTACCTATGTGGTGTGTTTGCGTGGGCAGGGCTCTCTATCCAGAAGTATTTCCAAGCACAGCCCCTCAAATTCTGTCATTTTTTTGGGAGGCTCTGTGAGAATGCCAGGGATGGGGTAAAGGGGTGGTTCCCCTCCAGCTTTGGGAGGGGATTAGCTGAATAACTGGGCAGACACTGCGGTGCAGGGAGAAAAAGGGGGACACCGGCCAGCCTGGTTCAAACCTGCTTCTGTATTTCTTGGGCAGGACAGAGACACATCCCCTTTCCTCCATCCCTGCAGGAATGTCCTCGCTGTTTGAGCAGGGGTATCTCAGACCACTTGTCCCTCATCCCCTACAGGTAACTGAGAGGGGCAAGGCTGAGGCTGCTGACCTCCGGCCCGGTGACATTATCCTGGCCATCAACGGGGAGAGTGCTGAGGGTATGCTTCATGCGGAGGCGCAAAGCAAGATCCGCCAGAGCCCCTCACCCCTGCGGCTGCGGCTAGACCGGTAGGTAGGCCCTCCCCTCTGCTAGGCCGGCCAGCATTTCTTCACCCCTCTGCTGGCCTGCTGCATGGTGGCTGCCCTCTCAGCCCCAGCCTGGTCTTCCTGGGATCTTTTGGCTCATCTTTGAGAAGGTCCAGGCTCTGGAGCTTCCTCAGAGTGGGCTGAGGGGTGTCCCCGAGCCCGGCTGGGCACGCAGCCATGGGCAGGGCCGGCTGGCATCAAGCACCTGGATGCCCGGGTTTGACTGGTTCCCAAGTGTGCAGGGTAGAGGGTGTGGGCATGAAGTGGGTTGAAGAGGGGAAACGGGTGCCTTAGGCTGGGTCTCCCAGGCCCCTGCCTCCAAGAGGGGATGGCCTTTGTTCAGATCCTGGGAGGGGTAGTTTGAGGAGTTTGGGGCTCACTCCCCAGAGAACCCCCTCTGTCAGTCCCCATGGCTTCTCTGGGCTGTGCAGGTGAAGGCAGATTCCCAGGCTTGGGTTTTCAGCCACGAGGCCTGGGTTGGCTGGTGGGGCGGGGGCGAACAGGTGGCTCCCTGAGGTGGGGCATCAGAGTGAGTCACAGGACAGGAACGCTGGGAGATCCCCAGTCAGGAGAACCCTCTGGGCAGGCCTTTAACTTGAGTCAGTTACCTCCTGCCTCTCTGCCTTCCCCTCCCCTCCCAGGCTCTCTCTAGGCCCTGAGTCCATGTACCCTCTCCTCACCCCCACTGTCCCACAGAGCCATAGACGCTAGCTCCCACGACGCTCTCATGATCCCGGCCCCTTCAGTGACTCCCTCATACCACTCAGGCTCGTGAGTGTTTGCAGGACTGTGACCCAAGGAGGGGGGTGGAGAATACCTCACGGCATCTGGGAAGGGAACCAAAGTCTACAAGGGACTGCAGAGTGGGGTGGCAGAGGGGCAGGGAGATGCTGACACCATCACTTCCCATAGGTTCCTCTTGTACGCAGTGCCATCAGCGAGGGGGGCCTGACCAAGTCCCTCCAGGCCTCCAGCTCCATGATGGGCAGGTCAAGACTCCCGGCATCTTCTTTCTTTTGTCTGGTCCACTCCTAAACCCTCCCAGTCTCCTCCACAGGAGCACCCAGAAGCTCTGTTGCAGGAAGCAGTGCTCTGGGCTGGAGCCAAAGCCCTAGCTCCCTTCACTGGCCCCACGCCCCTGCCTGGGGAGGCGAAGGCTGGTGTGGTGTGTGGTGACGGCAGTTCTTGCAGACCTCTCTAGAAGTGGCCAGACATCCAGGAATGGTGTGGTGGGGTTGGGACATGGCAGGCTCTTTCTTCACCTGAGACCAGTCCCAGCCCTCCAATGGCCTCCTGTTCAAGACTCCAGAGGGAAGGGCCTTGGAGGGGTTCCCAGGGAGCTGAGGTCGGGCACCTCTTTTTGCTGGCTGTCTTGGTGATTGGTGGGGAGCTGGGCCTGCTTGTTACCCTGGCTGTCTAGGCCCTGCAAGATGGCGGGGTCTGGGAGTTGGGGGGGTTGTGGGGGAGACAGGCTCCACACTTTGTTTTATGGAGGAGAAACCTTCAGAAGGGGCTAGGAATGACTCTTTCAAAGGTGTTCCAGCCATTAGCAGCAAAGCTGGTGGGAGACAGCCTCTGGCTGGGCAGGGGAGAGTGGGCAGCTAGCCTGGCCATCACTGGGTTTTAAGGAACTCACTTTCTCTCTCTGGGCTTCTGTGTCTCCGTGGGTGAAAGATAAAGGATTATTTATATGAAATCAGCAATCTCCCCCAGAATCGATCTACAAACTGATGCTGACCAATGACAATGTCTAGACGAAATGCTAAAAAAAGAAAAGAAAAGAAAAAGAGGGGTGCCTGGCTGGCTCGGTTGGTGGGGCATAGAACTCTTCCTCTCTGGGTCTTGAGTTTGAGCCTGGTGTTAAGTGTAAAGACTACTTAAAAAAACAAAAAAGAGAGAGAGAGAGAGAGAGAGAGACGCCTGGGAGGCTCAGTCAGTTAAGTGTCTGGCTTTGGCTCAGGTCATGATCTGGGGGTCCTGGGATCGAGCCCCGCGTGAAGTCCTGTGTCCAGGCTCCATGCTCATCAAGGAGTCTGCTTCTCCCTTTCCCTCTGTCTTTCTCCCTGCTCATGCTCTCTTCCTCTCTCTCAAGTAAATAAATGAAAATCGTAAAAGAGAGAGACAGAAAGAGAAAGGGAGTACTGTGAGGTTTTATTAAAACCGAATTGATGAAATTATGTCTATTTTTCATATTGATGCTAAACTGTCCATTCCTTTGAGAGATGACAGTGGTTGTTAATAAGAGTTGTTTTGAACTTGGCAAAGTTGAAATTTGACAACCTGATGTCCACATGTTTTGAACATTTATGAGTCTTGAGAATCTGTTGGGGGAACAGCTGCAATCTGCAGCCCGTCCGGTGAGTGGGGCTCCTGGACTCCTGTGACCTGCTTCCCTCTGGCCTCTCCTCAGGTCTCGGGCCGCTTCCCCTGGGCAGACCAATGGGGAAGGCTCTGTGGAAGTGCTGGCGACTCGCTTCCAGGTAGGAAGGTGCCTTCTGCTGGGAACTCCAGCACCCTGAGGTGAGGGGAACCCTGAGGGGCAGGGCCGGTTAGGGGATGGGTGCTTCCCTTCCCGGCCCTTCTCTCCACAGGGCTCCATGAGGACGCACACGGACAGCCAGTCCTCCCTGCGGTCTTCCTGCTCCAGCCCCGTGTCCTCCAGCCCCCAGCCAGGCAGCCCCTTCTCTACCCTGCCCCTCAGCCGCCCGCACGCCCTCCCTGGAGAGGTTGTGGTCAGCCGCAGGTGAGCGCAGGGGTGGGCACGAAGGCCATAGGGTCACGAACAGGCCTGTCAGTCTCAGCAGCTCGGTTTACGGGAGCCTGAGGGCACCCTCTGTGTCCCTGAGGCAGACTGGGTGGGACGGGGGCACACACACCATCCATTTCCCGCATTTCAGTTTCCAGAGCCTGGCACACTCCCCGGGACCCACCACTGCTGACCGCTTCTCCTACGGGGGCCGCCCCGGAAACCGCCAGGTGAGGATGCATGGGGGGTGGGGAGGAGAGAATCTCATCCGAGCTGATTGCCAGTGGCACCCTTGGGGCTGCAGATGGCGGGTCCCCCTTGGGCAGCCAGTGCCTCCATCGCCCAGCAACAAGCATGCCCCTCTCCTGAGCCGGGAGGAAACTGTGTCTGCTGGTGGTCTGTGCTTGCTGGTTCCCAGCCCTGCCTGGCCGGTCCCAGGTGGCCTTCTACCTCCTGTCCTCCCACTCGCTGCCTCCCCCCTCCTGCTAGCATCCTCCCTTCCTGAGTGTTTCTCTTGGGCCAGGGCTGAAATAGTTTTGCTGCTGTTGTTGGGATGGTTCCCTTTGGCTCTGGCTGCATCTCTTGAACACATTCCTCCCCATTCCAAGCCCCATGCCCGCCCCCAACTCCCATCACCCCATCCCCCTACCTCCTCCTCTGACTCAGCCCAGAGAACCACCAGTGGGACTGTGGTTCTGCCTCAAGGTGCACTTGGCTTACTTTCTGTCTGCCCTCCTCCTTGCCCTTCTACTCTGGACAACCGCCCCCCCCCCACAACCCACCGCTGGGTCCTACTGTGAACTAGTGACAGCCCCCCACACCCTGTCTTGGTGGTATTTCTCCTCTCTAAGGGCAGGGGTGAGGAAGTGAGGGAGCAAGGACGCCAACAGTCCTGGGCCACAGCTGTTGGGGCAGAATTGGGTGGGGGGGCATATCCAGCCTTTGGGGTGAAGGGGATGAGGCCCAGCTGCTAGAATCCTCCCTCCGGGTGATTCTGCATTCCAGAAAGCAGAACCTTTGGAGATGGCCGGGGGAGGGCATTACAAACTGGGGACTCTGGGGAAGGAAGGAGAGGGCTCCCGTGGGGGCTGCATGGGAGGGTCTTGCCAGTGACTCCTTGTGAGCCCACTCAGTGGACTGCCAGGCAAGGGGGGGCACAGAGATGCCTTCGATAAGATCCCCATCTTTAAAGAATTTAAAGTATAGTTGGGGAGATAAGACAAGCATGTAAAGCAGTTTGGGAACAATTAAGAACTAAACAGTGTGGTCTTAATTATAAAAGCGGGAGGCATTCTGGGAGGGAAAAGAGGAGTGTGGGCTGGGTGGCCTGAGAAGGCTTTGTCAGGAATGTTGCTGGACGTCAGAGGTAGGACTGGATAGGGTTTAGATTAGAGGTTGATAAGCCAGGGGGATGGCAAAGCAGTGTATAAGCAGGACCTGGCGTGTCTGGGCCTGGGTGGGAGTGGGGAGGGCCTTCTCTGGGAGATCTTGGGGCTGACACCAGCTGGGACTGCGCTTGGCCCAGGGCATGGCTGGAAGGAGTCCATCCATCCTGGCCTTCTTCCTTGTGGTTCCCAAACTTGGGCAAAGGGGAGACGCCAGGGAGACACTGGAGGTACAGGGAGTGGCTCCCAAGCCTGCAGCAGCACCTTGGAACCTGTTAGAAATGCACATTCTCAGGTCCCAGCCTGGACCTGCTGGGTTAGATGCAGGGGTGAAGGGGTGGAACAGGGCGTCAATCTGTGTTTTAAGGAGCCCTCGGGGTCCTGATGCGAAGATCTGAGGACCACCCATGAAGTGTAACCAGGAGCCCTGGGCTGGGGGGGGGGGCAGGGAGACTTGGGGTAGTCCCATCTCTAACATCTAACCTTGGATCAGCCCCTCTTTCTCTCTCTGGACCTGACATTTGGTTCCCGTGCTCCGAGTTCCCTCCTTTGGCCTGAGGACCATGGTCATTCCTTCAACAAACTTATTTGATTTTTGTTTTAAAGATTTTATTTATTTGTCAGAGAGAGAGAGAGGAGAGCCCAAGCAGGCAGAGCAGCAGGCAGAGGCAGAGGGAGAAGCAGGTTCCCCGCTGAGCAGGGAGCCTGATGTGGGACTTGATCCCAGAACCCTGGGATCACAACCTGAGCCGAAGGCAGATGCTTAACCGTCTGAGCCACCCAGGCATCCCCCTTCAATAAGCTTTTGTTGAGCTGCTTTGTGTCAGGCGCCCTTCTAGGCTCTGGGGATGCGTTGGTGGACCAACAGAAATTCCTAACCCAATGAAGCTCGCATTCTGGTCTATAAATAAGGCTGTGATCAGACGGTGTGGGAATCACAGGGTCCCGTACCTCCCTCTTGGGAGCAACACTGTACTTTTAGCACCTTAAAGGCTCTGAGAAGTCCCATGAGAAATACATTTAATTTTAATAATTTCCTAAACTTAAATTTAACTACAGAATTTCTCTTGGCATCCCCTCTCCCCCCACATACCTGCCACTCACTTATTCACATCCCTGTGTTCACCAGAACACAGTTTGAGAGGTACTAGCTACAGATGAGCTCTTGGGGGAGGGAGGTGAGCAGCTTCTCTGGACTTGGGGATCCAAGGTTCCTTCTGGGAAGGCAGGTGTCCCTAGCTGACTAGGAGGGAGGGAGGAGAAAGGCAGAGCTGCTCCTGATCAGGGAGCTGGGCTCCTCTCCACCAGGGCGTCGCGGTCTGGCAGGAGGAAAGGGGTTAGAGGTGAGGTTCCCCCACCCCAGTCTGCTGTGGCCGTGGCCTTGCTGCTGGTTCCTGAGCTGGCTGGCTGGGGCTGCACTGAGCCCCAGGCTCAGGACCCCACCAGCCTTTATGGGGCCCTTCAGAAAACTAGAAGTTGCCACCTCTGGGTAGGCACATGCCTTGGTGGGCAGAGGTGAAGTAAAGACAGCACCCCTCCCTCTGGTTGGCACTTGGACTTGGCTTGCAAAGAGAGCCTGGGTGGGTTTTGGCTCGCCCTCCCAACTAGCCACTGCCCCCATGCCGGGCACAGGCTGGCCTCAGATGGCACAATGGGACATGGTACTTAAGTCTCTGTGCTGAGGAAACCATCTTACCGCCTGTCAGTGGACCACAAGGCACCAAGAGCAAGAGGGATGTAGGCTGGCGGAAGCAGGCTGCAGGGGTGAGGATCTAGGGCTGTCTTCTCAAAACCCTCAAGTTTCTGTTTTTAGCTAAAAAATTCATGCCGTTTTATCATTGGACCCTGTTCTTTGTCCCTGACTTTGAATCTTAAAATCGAGGGAATTTGGCCTTCCAGGGAACTGTGCCCTCAGCCCGGTGCACTGTGGCCTGTCTGTTGGTCTCTGAGGGGCCCCTTCTGTGGGGGGCCCCTTCTGTGGGGGCTGGCAGTGGAGATGAGCCAGGGTAGAGGGAGTGGGTGCAGAGGTGCAGGCCAGAAAGTGGAGCACCAGTTTGGTTGAAGGCGGGATTTCCACATGGACAGCAAGCGTCAAGAGCCCAGGGTGGACAGTGCGCGCCTGGAGAGGGGGTGCTGCTGTTGGGGTGTGGGTCCAAAATGGGCCTGGCCCCCGCAGACTCCCTGGGGCAGAACCAGACCTCCAGGACAGCCAGCAGACCTGGGCCCTCTCAGGAGAGGAAGTGTGTGCAGGAGAGGGTCCCTCGTGCAACCCCAGCCCTGACTCTAAGAGGGGTCTTAGGCCCTTCAGTCCATCCCTGTGTTTCCTTCTCCTCACAGCGAAAGGATCTGCTTACTTCCTCTCTGCTGTTCTGCCCCTTGCCCAGTCTCCTTGCAGAACCATTTTACTTCCACAGTCAGGGGCTGACCACTCTCCCCTTCTGGGACTGAGCAGGAGGAGTCTCTAGTTCCTAGAGGGCAGGGTTGGGGCGATGGGCCCTTGTTGCCTTGTTGCCGGCCTGCTGGTCAGCGAGAGCTGGGAGCCCTCTGGTGTTGGGCCTGGGGAACAGCCGGACTTGTCTTGGCGGCCCAGACGGCTGTGTTGGCCAAAGGCTCCAGCCGCTGACTCCTCCCCTGGTGCCTCTCTGTCCCACAGGCCAGCCTCACCCTCGCTGGCGACTCAGCTGTGCTGGTGCTGCCGCCTTCCCCCGGTCCCCATTCCTCCAGCCCCAGGCTCAGGTAGCAGCGGGCCCTGGAGGGTGGGGTGGAATCCTGGAGGGCCTGGGAAGCCAGGAGACAGAGAGGAGGAATGGGGGTGGTGGGGAGTGGGTGGGTGGGGTCCCGATGGTTTTAAGCCCAGTTGGCTGTCCTCTGAATACCCACCCCTAGAATCCTTTGCCCTAGGGCGCTCTTTCCCTGCCCCCATGCTGGTCCTCATACCCAGGAAGGGACCCTCACTCCTGGCTGCCTCCTGCCCCTACAGTGTGGACTCAGAAGGGGGAAGCCGCCTTCTGGAAGAGGACTCAGAAGTCTACAAGATGCTGCAGGAGAATCGTGAGGCGCGGCTCGCCCCCCGACAGTCCAGCTCCTTTCGGCTCTTGCAGGAAGCCCTGGAGGCTGAGGAGAGAGGTGAGCTCCTGGGGGGTGTGCGTGTTGGAAGTAGGTTCCGACAGGATGTCCCCGGACCCTAAGTGGGCATGATATTGAATAGGTATGTCTTAAGTACTCATCACAGGAGTAGGCACCAAGGGCAAGTCCCTGCACTAAAGGGGCTTTCAATCTGGTAGGAGTTCCAGGGGTGCACCCAGAGGTGCTGGCTGGGATCAGGAAAATGTCAAGAGAATGACAAAGGTGGGGAATAGGGCCCATGGGGACTGGGTCTCCAGGGAGGGCTTCATGGAGGAAAATGACGTTGACTTGACCCTTGAAGAAAGATTAAGACTTTAACAAAGGGCCTTAAGATGGCGGCAGGGAGTTTGAGCCTCAGAGAGGGCATGGGGTGGCGGGGGGAGGGGGGTTGGTTGGTGGTGGTGGCGGTGAGCGCGAGGCCTGTGGTGGCTGGCAGCCCGAGGGCTTTGGTGTGCGAGCGAGAGAGTAGCAGGGGCCTAGTCTTAGAGGTTGAGTCCTGGCTGGGGGGTCTCATGTGCCAGGCGGAGGAGTGCCCTAACCCAGGAGGTCCCATTAAATAATGCCAGGCAGATGCTGGAGTGAGAAAGAAGAGAGATATGGGCTCTTGCCAGCCATTCCGTTGTTCCTTCCACAGACATTTACTGTGCCTGTCTGATGGGCCTGTGGGGTGCCAAGTGTGATGGCCGAGAGTGGCCAGGCACCTGTCTGCCCTTGAAGAACGGTTTATTGGGGTGAGATGGTGGTCGGGGTACAGTGGTACTGTGTGTGTGTGTGTGTTGGGGGAGCACTGCCTAGTGCAGGGGAGAGACGAGGGGGCCTGGCCTGGCAGAGGCCGCAGGGAGGCAGACAATGGGACAGTCCGGAGCTCCAGATCAACAGCCTCACTGGTACAATATCTGGTGCCCGGCTTCAACTCAGAGAGTTGGCTCCTGGGGTGCTCACTGGGGTCAGGGGGTAGCGAGCGAAGCTTGTCTATCAGGACCCCGAGGCCTTGGTGGGCCCGTGGGCAGGGCCCGGAGAGAGGTGGTTGGGGGGGTGGAGCGCAGATGGTCACTGCTGGAGCCTTGGGGTCCTTGGGCCAACAGGGACCATACCCACCCTGTACCCCTCCCCCCCCCCCCCCCCCCCCCCCCGGTGCTTCAACTCAGTGTTGTTCCAAGGCTGCTCACAGGCAGCCAGGCCCATAGAAGCCCTTTGAAAGCTGTATAAAGGTATTGTGGTGCTGCTATTATCTATCATTACCATCTTTTAATTAATAGCATCATGCCTGGATCACGCCTGCTTGGTGGGATGTGTAGACACAGCTCAGACATTCCTTGGGCTGCCTCAGCTTGGGCTAACTCCGCCCCAGCCCAGAAGCGGCTGCCATCACTCCCTTCATCCATCACCTACCGGCCACACCCCCGGTGTTCCCTTAGCCGTGCGTGTGTAAGCACACCTTTTAGGAGCCTCCTCGGAGCTGTGCTGGAGGAGCGTGCATGGGTAAATAGAGCCTGGCTGCCACCACGGGGGAAAAGAGCTCTGATGTGTGTCTGTCTGCCCACCCCCAGGGGGCACACCTGCCTTCCTGCCCAGTCAGCTGAGCCCCCAGTCCTCCCTGCCCACCTCCAGGGCGCTGGCCACCCCACCCAAGCTCCACACGTGCGAGAAGTGCAGCACCAGCATCGTGTGAGTACTGGGGTGGGGGTGGGGGGCGGGCACTCCCTGGCAGGGCGGTAGGGGGCGGAGCAGGGCAGGGAACGCCCTCGGGAGGGCTCTGCAGAGAAAGATCAGTCCGGGCCCCGGGCGGGGCTTTCCACGATGCATCTGTGCGAGGGGGTAATGCGGCTTGTTCTCAGGCTTCTTACAAAGCCTTGCTGCCTTCTTCCTGCTGCATCGCCTTCTTTCTGATTTCTTTCGCCCTCCCCAGAGGAGGAGGAAATGTTATTGCTTCTGATTTCTCTCCAGTAATCTAAAAGCCTCTGGAGATCTACCTCCAGACGGGGTGCCTCCTCCTGGAAAATGTTGCTCTCCGCCCCCACCCCCTCCCCCAACCCCCCTTCCCCACCTACTTTGGAAAGGGATGGGTTTTCCAGAGGCAGGTTTGTTTTTCTCAGTGGGTGGCATTATAATGCAGCGGTATTCTCTGGCAAATTGCTGAAACCCCACTCACCCTCCCCTCCGCCCCCGCCATCAATGTCTTGCACGCGGTGTTAATGGCCAGATGACTCAGTTTAGGCAAACCCCTTAGCCTCTGTGGGCTTCGCTGTTCCACCTGCGGAATGGGATATTACCCATGCCGCTGTGTAGACACAAGGAAAGGGGTTCTCAAAGAGGAGCTGCAAAGGGATTGTCAGAGGGTTCCGCGCCCCAGAGCTTCCACTTTTCCAGCTTGTCCGCAGGGAATGCGATGCTGTGGGTCCTCATTCCTGGGACCACATTTTGAGAACCACTGCTCCATTATCAACCAGAAAATTCAGGATGCAATTTGTCTGCGTTTGTTTAAAGGGGGAACACCCCTCTTTTTTTTAAACTAGAGGTCTTGAGGGTGGGGGGTTGTAGGGTTATTGACGCGAGAGTCCTGAAGGAAGGCTCGGGGAGTCAGCATCTGAAATTTGGGGATCTTCCCTGAGTCCTGTCTCGGAGCTAGGCTCCCTGCGAATGAGAAGGGCAGCGGTCCTGCCTGGGGTCCCACCTCCACCCCAAGCCCCCAGGCTAACAGCTCTGCCCTCTCCATCGCCCCCTGCAGGAACCACGCTGTCCGCATCCAGGAGGGGCGCTACCGCCACCCCAGCTGTTATACCTGCGCAGACTGCGGGCTGAACCTGAAGATGCGCGGGCACTTCTGGGTGGGGGACGAGCTGTACTGTGAGAAGCACGCCCGCCAGCGCTACTCCTCACCCCCCACCCTCAGCTCCTAGGCCTGAGCACCTGGCTGTGCTCTCAGGCCGCCCTCAACTTTGTGGGCACCTCTGTGCCAGGGCCATGCCAACAGCAAGTTGGCCTGGAAGGGCGGTTGGTGGGTGGTGGGCGGGCCCCTTCCTCCATGCTAGGCGCGGCTAGGTCCTGGGGCCTATCCTGGGCTGTGCATGAGGACAGCCTCGCTGTCCCAGGCCTGTGCTAGAAACTCTCACTTCCCCCTGCAGGACAGGCTGTGCACCAACGGCTAAGGTGGGCACTGCACTGGATATCCTTGTGCAACAGGGGTTAAGCAGGTTGGGACACAGAGAGAAGTATGTAGAAAGAGATGGGTGGTCAGAGGCAAAAGGTATTCGCTCTGTAAAGTTTTCAACATATGAACTCTATAAATATATATACATGGACAAAACAAAGTAGATCTCCCCTCTCCTTCCCTGCCCCAGCCCCTGGGGATGAGCTTCTCTTGACCACTGGGTCAAAAGTCTTTATTTACATATTTTTTTTCCACTTTATCTTCCCCCCCCAAACCTACCGAAGCTTCTTTCTTCCTTTCCTTCCTTCCTCCCTCCCTTTCTTTCTTTCTTTCTTTCTCTCTCTCTCTTTCTTTCTTTCTTTCTTTCTTTCAGATTTTATTTATTTATTTTAAAAGAGAGATAGGGAAAGAACACAAGTCTGCAGAGTGGCAGGTAGATGAAGAGGGAGAAGCAGGCTCCCTGCTGAGCCACGAGTCTGATTTGGGGGTGGTGGTGCTTGATCCCAGGACCTTGGAATCATTCCCTGAGCCAAAGACAGACACTTAACTGACTGAGCCACCCAGGCGCCCTGAGGCCTGTTTCTTTTAGTGGAAGTTTGTGCTCTTTCTAGATACCGTCCACTCTTTTTTTTTTTTTTAAGATTTTATTTATTTGACAGACAGAGATCATAAGTAGGCGGAGAGGCAGGCAGAGAGAGAGAGAGGGGGAAGCAGGCTCACTGCTGAGCAGAGAGCCCAATGTGGGGCTCAATCTCAGGACCTCGAGATCATGACCTAAGCCAAAGGCAGAGGCTTAACCCACTGAGCCACCCAGGTAACCCCCCTTTTAAAAAATTTTTATTTTTAATCTCTCCATCTGATGTGGGGCTTGAACTTACAACCTCGAGATTAAGAGTTGCATGCTCCATTAACTGAGGCAACCAGGCACCTCTCCTGGACCCTTTTATTTATTTATTTTAAATATTGTATTTATTTATTTGAGAGAGGTAAAGCGTAAGCACAGGAGGGTGTAGATGGGGGAGGGGCAGAGGCAGAGAGAGTAGCAGGCTCCCCACTGAGCAGGGAGCCAGATGTGAGACTCAATGTGGGGTTCCATGCGGGGCTCCATCCCAGGACCCCGGGATCATGACCTGAGCCAAAGGCAGGCACTTAAGCGACTGAGCCCCCCAGGCACCCCACCTCCTGGACACTTTTATAAAGATGGCAGTTTTACTGGGATAACCCCTGGTACTTTAGAGGCCGGAGCTTCTCACTGGGAGCCTGGAGAGGAGCAGAGATGCAGGAGGCAGGCCCGGACGTCTATTCTGTCCAGGCCTCGGCTGAGGGACACAGTCTCATGTTCCCCTGGCCCTGGCTGGCCTGGCACTCTGTGGTCCTTGCTCTACTTGGGGCCAGTGCTGCCAGCTCAGTTGACTTACCCGGATGAGCCGGGTGGGCAGGAGAGGGGGCAACATCTCAAGTACGTCCTGCACTTGGCCAAGGCTGTCTGCACCCATCTGAGAAAGAGAATCACCAGAAATAACCCTGGACAGGCTGCAGGTTAGCCTTGCCTGGGAGGGACATGCCAGTGGAGCCCCCACCCTGAGGGACCACCACCCACCAAGGACCTCACCTCCAAGTCAGGGTTTTTTGTGTGCCCCTTCCACGGGAGACCCTGCTGGCTTCACTTCTAGTTGATTTGAAAACCCCAACCGAAACCAAAAAAGGATGGGTGACCAGTGCCAGGCATGTCTGCCCTCAGGTATGTTTGACTTGAGGCCAGGACAGAGGTTCCCTACCAGATTTAGGGCTGGATTCACCCACCGAACCCCAGTCCTCATCCTGGAGGACATTTTCAGAAAGGTGCATGGGTACTGCTGGGTGCTCCAGACCCACCCTGTCCCCCAGTTAGCCTGAGGAATGGGCTACAGTCTCAACTTTATTTTCACAGAAAAGATCAAAGCTGGGCTTTAGAGACGGTGCTATCTGGCTCTTTTTGGAGCGAATCTTGGTGGAGAATGTTTGTGTGGGCTCCTCGGGCATCTGTTGATACAATTTACCCCTTGACATAATCGTCTCTCTGGATAGCTGCCTTTATTTTCATAGAAAAGATCAAGGCTTTCTGTGGCTCAGGAGGAGGACCCCAGGCCAGAACACCTGGTCGGCAATGGGATGGCCTCCTTGGCGCCACCTGCTGTCAGGTGTAGCCCACGACAGGGGAGAATGCCGGCAAAAGGGGCATCCAGAAAAAGGTAGCACTTTTTCATGCTCTCCTGAAGGTGGTGGTCAAGTGGTAGCCACTGAGCTGGCACGAATGAAATCATAGTACATGGCAATGAGTGCTAAGAGCTAATGTGGGACACACAGGCATGGCCTGTGAGCACAGAGCAGAGGGCATCTCTGTGTAAGGATGAACAGAACCTGGACAGGTGCAGTGGACAAATGCTGAAGGATGGGGGTGAGTGCAGGTGGATGCTCGGTTTAGGGCAGTGGCCGAAGGAGGTACCAAGAGAAGCCTGGAAGGGGAGATGGGACCCTTGAATGCCAGAAGAAATGGTTTGGACTTCATCTTGAGACCCTGGGATCATTTTGAAAATTTTAAGCAGGGGAGTGATGGATTGGAAAAAGTGGGTGGGAGTATTAACATGGTCAGATCCCCACCTGTAACAAAGTGTGGTGGGCCAGCAATGTTCCAAGGAGTAGAGGAGAACAGATGGGGAGTGGAGACCCTTGTGAAAGGGGTATGTCGGTGAGTTGCTGAATGCCTCCAAAGGCTGGATGGGTCCACGCTGAAATCCATCTGTTTAACTGGAGCAAGCAGCTCTCCTTCCAGCGGCCCAGGGAGGGGGCAGGGGGTAGCTTCAGAGCGCTCAGCAGCTACACAGCCAGCCTCAGCTTGGGAGCACACTTCTTCTTTGGTCAGAGGAGAAGGTTGGGGGCAGTCTTTGATTTTTCCTCCCTGCCCTCAAACCCACCCCAAGCCAGCTGTGAGCGCCCACCCTCTGCAACCCAGACACATTTGGGAGGGGACACCACCTAATTATAAGACCTCAGTTTGTCCAGTGCTGTGCCCTTTTTACTTATTTCTGCATTTGGGGGAATAACTTCAGAAATGAGAGATTCGAGTTAGAAGTTCCCCCAAGAGAGCATCTAATAGAGCCCCCTTCAGTTAGAAATGGGAAGGGGACATTCCCAAAGTTTCACTAGGGAATTCTAACACACAAACATGTTGAGTGCTTTACTCCTCACAATTCTGAGGTCGGTATTGTTGTCCTCCTTGTTCTGTAAATGAAGAACCCCTGGACAGTGGACAGGGAGGATGAGTAGCAGGTCCAAGGACTCCGAGCTGGTAAGGGGAGGGGATTGGGAGTGGACCCTGGAGTCTGAATCCCGCATTTCTGGTTTGGGGCGGGGAGATTTTGCCCCTCCATCACCAGAGGTTGCCTTCCAGGGCACAAGGGAGGTCACCATGGTTCCCAGCCATCTCTACTCTGGCCGGAGATGCCCGCAGCCTCTTGGCTTGGCCCTTCCTCCCACGGGGCCTAGCTTAGTGCTGAGCTGGCAGGAAATGTGCTTCCTGAAACTGGGACTTCCCCTTGGAGGATGAGGGGCCACTGGGCATCCCTGGCCTCAGCCCGAAGAAGGATGCTGCTCAGCCACCGTGAGTCTCAGGAACTCAGGGAAGCTGCTCACCTGTCAGGCGGGCAGGAAGGGGGCGGCAGAGCTGCCCTGCTATTCCTTCAAGCATCAAAGGGAAAGGGGTTTCCTCTGATAGGAAGCAGGGTGGGAGGTGGTCATGCAGGGGTACAGAGCCCTTGGGGTAGAGAAGGCCTGACCTAGTTCTTGTCACAGGGCTACTCCAGTCAGGGCTTCAGAAGGTGGGAAGTGTGTGGCCCCCTATGATGGATCCCCATCACCATGAGGGCTCAGGTGTATCTGCATGGTTGGGGGGGGACAGAGGTGCGTGGCCTGGAAGGGCGTGTGCTTGCATGTGTGTTGGTGGGGGTGTGGGTTCTTTTGAGCCCACACAAAGCCTTGTGCTGAGACACTGCATTCCTGCTGGCTGGGCTTCCTGTTCCAGAAGCATTCTTGCCCCAGAGTCGCCAGGGAGACTGCTTGGAATCTGGCCCCACATTCTCCAGATTCAGGGCGAGATCTGGCAGAGGTTCCCTCCCTTTACCTCCCTAGCCTCTCACTACAGAGGAAGGAAGCCACCTGAGAGGCCAGCCCTCCAACCCTCCTACCTAGGGAGCCTTGGGGTGGGGTTGGACACTGCCTGTGGGGTTTGGTGCCACACATCCTGTTGGGCGAGCATAAAGCAGTTCCTGCCAGGCCCTGCATTCTCTTTCCCTGTCTGTATCTGGGGAAGAGGAATGGAGTGGGGTTACTGTCTAGGGAATAGGGTTAGGTGGGGAAAACCCAGAGGACTTATGCCTAGCAGGGAAGGGCTTGGCCTGAAAATCAAGGTATTACGAGATGGCAGGCAATTCAAGCACTAGGCTCTCATTCTTTCTCCAGACTTGGCTACTGGCCTCAGTTTCCCCATCTTATACAGTTAGAATCTTATAGTTTCCAACTTGCTGATAAGGCTCCAGTGTAAGGTGTTTGGGGAAGGGTACGAAGGAGCAAGGAGCAGAATGGGGTGGCAGACTTTCTTCCCCTCCTAGTTAACGGCCACTTCCTTCCAAGGGCTCTGGCTCCAGCCCCTCCCCCAGAGGCTCAGGTGCAAGTTTGCACGTCCACCAGCTCCCTTATCTGCCTCCGAGGGATTTGGGTCCTGCTGGGATTTTTCCAGCCCTGTCACCTTACTCAAGAGGATGAGGTTTCCTTACAGGCCAGCAGCCCCCCTGCTCACGGGGCTGTGTCACCTTGGGCAGCTGCCTGGGCTCCCAGCTTCCTTTCAGGCTGGGAGCCTTTGAGGGTGAGGAGTGGTGGAATCCCAGGACCAAACGAGGGTTGGGGTGGGGACAGGGAAGTATTTACACTTCCACCGCCTCCAGGCTGCTTCCTAGTCCCTCTGGCTCACTTCCCCAGATGCTGAAGACCCCCTCCCCAGATTTAGGGTGCTCCGGGTGAGGGAGAGGTATGGGACGAGGAGGGGATTCAGATCTAGCTTAGGACTCAAGGCGCTCTACAGTTGTCGGAAAGGATTTCCATGTGGACAGGGATCATTTCCCCCTTCTGTCGCGTCAGGTTTCTGAGTGGCTGAGT